TAGAGCATTTGGGGGCTCGTCCAGGATCAACATAAGGACCCCCTTGTTCCCCAGACCCTTTTCGCCAGACCCTTTTCGCCAGTCAATCAACTTCTGTAAGTATCCTCTCCTTTCTGTTTCGTTTTGGTGCACACTTTTGTTGCAGTGGAGAGAGTTAATGCTCCCTCTGCACCAGAGCGGGACGCCCTCTGGGGGCTTCTTGCCCACTTCGTAATTTGGGACTTTAGTCCACCAGGTTTTGGGATTTCATCTCCCTTTGGCCTTTGTCTCTTCCCTCTCACCTGATCCTTCCCTCCCAGGTCATATGCAACTCATCAGATATAAGAGTTGTAGCGACAACTTTTCCCCTGCAGGTCACCTGATCAAGGACAGACAAAGTCTTCTATGTGTACTTAATGTTTTCTGTGTCTTTTGTGGCACCTTGTCTTGTGTTGCTTTGGTTGATCTATTTCTATCAAAAACTAACCACCAACAACTAATCATGGGTCAAGGCTCTTCTTCTGTGTCCCTGACACCCTTAAATTTGATCCTTAATCATTTTGCAGATTTCAGGAAAAGGGCCCAAGGGTACGGAGATCCTCTATATCCTGGAAGGCTCCGAATATTTTGTTCCCTAGAATGGCCATGCGCTGTCCCCGAGTGGCCAGATACTGGAAGTTTTGACCTGGCCATTGCGGAGACAGTCCAAAGATACGTCTTCGGTCCTCCCATACACCCTGACCAAATTGTCTACATTCATGTTTGGATTCATCTCATCTATGATCCACCTTCCTGGTTAAAAAAATTTCTTGAGGCTACCAAATGGCAGTCTGACAATCCTCCGCTGCTGGCACCATTGAAAGTGAAACCAAAATTGAAGCTGAGTCTGATTTTGCCAGCCAATGAAGAGGAGCCTCCCCCACCGCCTTATCGTCCCTCCGCTCCCCTGGCACCTAATTCCCCAGAACCCGAACCCTCTGCCGAACCCTCTGCCGAACCCTCTTTCTGCCCCCCCCAGCCCTATCAGGACCAGAAGTCGGCCGCAACCCGACTAGCCCAACTCTACTGCCACCCCAGCCCTCCTTCTGTTATGAGAGATACCTAACCCCGATCATCCCACTGCCCCAGTTTTCACCTATGTTCCCTTCTCCACTTCAGACCTATATAATTGGAGAGGACAAAACCCTCCTTTCTCGAAGGATCCACAAGGGCTCATCTCTCTCCTGGAATCCATTTTTTCTACCCATCACCCCACTTGGGATGATTGTCAACAGATCTTACAGATTTTGTTTACAGCGGACGAGAGAGAATGCATCCACACCTTGAGTAAAAAAGTGGTGCGCGGCCCTGACGGAAACCCGACGTCTGACCCAGACCTCCAGAACTCCACTTTCCCACTGTCCCACACTGATTGGAACCCCAACGTGACCGCAGGTAAGGAGGCTCTCAATCAGTATCACCAGCTGTTCCTAGAGGCCCTTAAAGGTGCTGCCAGAAAACCTACAAACCTATCCAAGGTGTCCGAGGTAAGGCAATTGGCAAATGAGTCCCCTTCAGGTTTTCTGGAAAGATTGCAGGAGGCCTATCGCATTTACACCCCCATAGATCCAATGGCTCCTGAGAATGCAAGGGCTATGAATATTGCCTTTGTTACCCAGTTGCCCCCAACATCAGAAAAAAATTACAAAAACTCTAGGGATTCGGAGGGATGCCCCTTAGTCAGTTATTAGAGGTAGCCCAAAAGGTTTTTGAAAATCGGGAAGATCGCCAAGAAGCAACTGACAAAAAGCTAACTAAAGCATTGGAGGTTTTAACCGAAAAGGTAACTGAAAAGAAATACAAGGACCATCCTCCACTAGATAAGAATCAATGTGCATATTGCAAAGAGCCAGGGCACTGGAAAAAGGATTGTCCAAAACTTAAAGCCAAATTGGAAAAGGATGCAAAGACTTTGTTATTCCAAGACTGAGAAAGTCAGGGCTCTCATGCCCCCCCCCGCCCCCAGAGCCCAGGTTAACCCTAAATGTGGGAGGCCAACCCATTGATTTTTTGGTGGATTCGGGTGCAGCTCATTCAGTCATAACCAAACCACTGGGAAAACCTACAGGACAAAACTTAAGAGTGTTAGGGGCTACTGGTACTGCTAAGATGTATCAAAAATTTCAGGTCCAACTTGCTAGACCTGGACAAAAGACTATACCACATGAATTCTTATGGGCACCTGAATGCCCTGACCCTCTATTGGGCCGTGACCTTCTGCATAAACTAAAGGTCCATCTTAGTTTTGAAACAGCCATCCCAACAGTACAATTGGACAAAGACCTTTCAAAGCCTCAAACCAAGGTCTTGGCCCTATGCCCAGAGGGAGAAGGACATTTGTTATTGGAAGCCCTGAGACTTCTACTAATAAAGACTTATTACACGAATGGATGCAGCAGGTTCCGGGAGTATGGGCGGAACAAAATCCTCCTGGGCTGGCAGTCAACCAGGTACCTTTGGTAATTGAACTTATTCCCCAGGCTGCCCCCATATGGCTTAAGCAATACCCTATTGGGTTGCAGGCCCGCCAAGGAATAGGAAAACATATTCAGAGACTCAAGGATCATGGCATTTTAAAGCCTTGTGTTTCCCCTTGGAACAATCCTTTGTTGCCTGTGCAAAAACCAGGAACACAGGACTACCGGCCTGTGCAGGACTTGAGAGATATAAATAAAAGAGTTATAACCCTCCATCCTGCAGTCCCTAATCCCTACACCTTGCTGAGCCTGTTAAGGCCGGAGCGGACCTGGTATACTGTACCGGACCTCAAGGATGCTTTCTCCACCTTGCCTGTGGCTCTGGTATGTCAACCTATTTTTGCTTTTGAATGGACAGATCCGTCATCAGGAGTGTCTGAACAGCTAACATGGACACACCTCCCTCAGGGGTTTAAAAATGCTCCAACCCTGTTTGATGAAGCCTTAGCAAGGGACTTGGTTGGATATAGGGAGAATCATCCAGAGGTAACCCTCCTACAATATGTGGATGACCTCCTGCTGGCTGCAGTTTCATTTGACCATTGCAAAGAAGCCTCCCAGGCTCTCCTACAGGAATTAGATAAGCTGGGTTATAAAGTATCGGCAAAAAAGGCCCAAATCTGCCAAAAATTGGTGACTTATTTGGGCTATCAGATCCAAGAAGGAAAGCGCACTCTTTCCTCTCAGCAAATACACACCATCCAGCAGATTCCCACTCCTGTTACCAAGAAACAGGTGCACGAATTTCTGGGAGCTGTAGGATATTGCAGACTTTGGATTATCAGTTTTGCTGAGATAGCCCAACCCCTTTATGATTCCTTAAGGGGGGTAACTCAAGACCGCCTAGAATGTCTCAAGACCAGGCTTTCAAACAGTTAAAACAGGCCCTAACTGAGGTCCCAGCTTTGGCCCTCCCTGATTTGCAAAAACCATTCTCCCTCTACGTGGATGAGAAAGGAGGGATAGCCAAGGGAGTCCTGACCCAATGC